CTGACCTTCTAGTTTATGGGGGCCAGAAGGGAGTACTAGTTTACGGTAGTCCTCCACCTGATGACATGTCCATATTCCCTCAGAGAACCTAACTCTGAGACCTGCTTGTTTCCAACAATGTAGCTAGCTTTGTATAACAGCTATCAAAAAGAAACCACGTATTGGTTCCTTTTAGTAACATGTGAGTCATTCTAGTACTTATTTGCAACTGAAAGCAAAGTAGGAGTTTCTCTTGTAAATCACTGACTGTTAACAGACAATAACAGCCAGATACAAGAGCTCTTTCTGTTTCTTTTCGGGTGGAGAAAGAGAGAGAGAGAGAGACTGCTGCTGATGTTTTTATCTAAACAGCAGTGCAGACAGTAAATCCACTGCTTGTCTCTAACTATACATTGACATATAGTTCAGGGGAGATGTTCCAGATCCCTGGTGACTTACAGTATTTATTGCTGAGGTTGTTCATCAACATTTTAGACAGTCTGGAGAATATGGATAAAGGCATGCGTATATATACAGAAAATACGATCTAAACCAAATTGAAGCGATGCATCATACTTTAGCTAACATTTCATCATCTGCATATATCTCTACAGTGTTATCAATATCAGACTCTACAGCATAATATAATCATAATAAAATATACATTTGTAAGAATTACAGTAACAGCAATACAGTGCATGCAAGGACACTTTCTTTTCAACACTTGCCAGTGCTGAGGGCTTCATTTGGTCATTGGAAAGTCTATTGTGCTGCAGAAGTTTGCATTTAAACGTTCTCATTTAAAAGGTGTTTTTTCCTTTTCATTTCAGCCTCTAACTTGCCAAAATTCTCCACTACGTGCAGAAAATCCAAAAGTCCCCTCTCATTTGTTTTAGCTAAGAGTGAATGGCCATTCATTAATCTTTTTGAATGCAAAGACCAAGTGCAACTGTGAGCAGGAAAAATCCACTGTTTCAAAAAGAAGTCATTTTGGATCCATTTGATACTGTTTTTTGAACATATTTTATAGGCCTATTTTATGGTAATTTATTAAATTACAAACAAGTAAATGATAAGCATAAATGCATAATCAATAAATAACAATAAATTACTTTTTAAATACACTGTTCATTGGGGGTCAGTACGATTATTTGGTAACACTTTACAATAAGGTTTTATTTGTTAGTTAATGTATTAACTGACATGAACTAACAGTGAGCAATACATATTTTACTGTATATGTTAATCTTTTTTAACGTTAGTTAATAAAAAAAAACATTTGTTCATTGTTTGTTCATGTCAGCTAACAGTGCATTGCCTAATGTTAAAAGATAAAACTTTTGATTTTGATAATAGTAAATGCTGAAATAAACATTAACAAATATGAATAAATGCTGTAGAAGTGGTTCATTAGTTCATAACTAAGGTTAACTAATGAAACCTTACTGTAAAGTGTTACCAATTTTTTTATGTTTTAGAAAGAAGTCTCTTATGCTCACAAAGGCTGCATTTATTTGATCAAAAATACAAAAACAGTAATCTTGTGAAACATTATTACAATTACAATTTTTATTGTAATGGCAAAGCTGAATTTCCAGCAGCCATTACTCCAGTCTTCAGTGTCACATGATCCTTCAGAAATCATTCTATGCTGACTGGTGCGCTGCTTATTTTTGTGGAAAACATTTTTTTTCAGCATCCTTTAATAAATAAAAAGTTAAAGAACAGCATCAATTTGAAATATAAATCTATTACAAACATTATAAATGTCTTTACTGTCTTTTTGATCATCTGAATGCATCCTCGCTGAATAAAAGTTAGGTTCTTATAGCGCATATTTCACATTATCAGCAATGCTTCTCATTGTAGATAACACTACAGATGTCTTCATCATCACAATGGCTGTCTGTGGCACTGTTTTAACACTTGAGACTTTTGTCCTGGGAAGGAGGATTAACTGTCATGGAATGATGAATGTTTAAAGGCCCTCATGGGGGCATTCACAGAATGAGGCGACATGACATGGCCTAAGAGGTGAGCAAATAGATATTCATGTTGAAAGATGTGCACGTGATTTATTGCCTCTGTTTGGCAAGATTTCAAAGTACCACTCACATATTTTGTTTCATGTGCAGAACAATCAAGATTAAAAAAGTTATCGAGGTTTCACGTTGCTTTCCTCTCTCCTTTCTATACAGCCCTCATAAGGACTCATGGGCTTCCTAAATCCTCTAATCTAATGTAAACTGCAGTGAATATCTATCAGCGTTGCCATCCAGTCACAATATAACACGTCTGAGTGTTTGGCAGGCTGAGACTAGACAGTGTGGGTGGCATGTGTGAACTACCAGAGAGCACTCAAGCAAACTACACATCAATAGGATTAAAGCGGTGGGAAATAATTAAACTGTAATCCTGTTTGCCGTATTTTGTGTCTTTCGAAGAGATGAAAGATAGTTGGCAAACCATTAGCTTCTTTATTCAGCTGTACTATTTAATATTGTCTCACTTTACCCAAATGCTTCGCTTTTGATATTCATTATTCATGCAATTGTTTGAAAGCATAGCCTTTAATAAATGGGTGAGTACATGTTGATCATACAAATGTGATTTCATGTATACCCATATATGTTAGTATGTGGGTTGCATAAGATTTTTGGCCTATCTGGAACATACATTTGCTTTTGGTGCGCTATTGCCATCTAGTGGAAAGCATGGCACATTGTTTTAAATTCAGTTTGAAGGAAGAATTTTGTGTTAAAAAAACTTTTGAAAGATGTTTTTGTCTCTCACCAAGGCTGCATTCACTTGTCCAAAAATACAGTAAAACAGTAATATTGTGAAATATTACTAGAATTTAAAATAACATAATATAATTTAAACAAAGAAATTCATGAGATGGCAAGCCTTTTTCAGCAGTTATTCATCTTTAGTGTCACATGATTTTCTTTTTTTTTCAGCGTTTTTTGGGAAATAGAAAGTTCAAAAGAACAGCATTTATTTAAGATAGAAATCTTTCATAACTCTAAAATATCTTTAATAGCACTTTTGATCAATGTAACACTCCCTTGCTGAATAAAACTATAGCAACTAGTGTATGACATGACATATAAAACAGTTGAAACAGTATACAAAATAGTAATAATATAGACATAAAAGCATTTATAAACAAAATAAACGATAAATTAAACTTTATTAGTTTGATATTTTTCAAGACTTTCATTTGAGAATGTATTTTAAGGACACAAGGTTATCCAGAGGACAGTGTATACAGAGCAAAACATCTGCAGGACTGTTTTTTGAATTTGAGTTCTCTGTTTGTCTGTCAAACTCATCATTTCCCACTGTTTTTTCATAAACATCTTATCGTAAAATCTTTATTTCTGTTACTCTTCTTTTTTCTCCCTGTTTAATCAAAATAGAGTCTTTGCTGTATTAAAATATTCATAAATGCATTTTTTTTAAATGATCAGCCCCTTTTCAATTGGTGTTTATTTAACACTAACATTTTATACAACGTTAATGATAATGATATGTCACTTGACTTGAGGTAGTGCGAATGGAGAATTTCCACACCGAAACAGACACCAAATTAAACAAAACATAAAAATTTAAAGGGAGGGCTTTGGCAGAGAAAGTTTAGTTCAGCTGCAGTGTTGAAGCTCGGGGAATCCCCAAACCTACCCATCACCAAAAAAAAAAAAAACGTTCTGCATTTTTACATTTAAAAAACATCACTTAGTATGATTTACAAGCTATTTTCCTCATGGGGACCAAAAAAAAATTCAACCAAGGGATTTCGGATATTGCCATCTTTGTGGGGATATGTTTACCAGGCCTCACACAAACACACACACACACACACACACACACACACTTCACACACACACAGAGAGAACCAAGAATGAACCTGAGCAGAGTCATGCACTGCCTGTGGTATTGCACATTTATCAAAATGAAAAAAGATATGGATTCCATTACGTAAATAGGTAGTCCTTCAGTTTAGCTGAGTCATGGGTAGTTCATGCTGCAGTCGTGTGTGCTGGCAGGAGTGAGATGATGATTACGCTGCTCTTCAACTTCCACCCACTTTCAGCCCGCAGCTTGAGCCACTGATAGGGACAGCCGTGAAGGCTTATCCGATTCAGTGCCATGGCCCCTCCCTATCACAGTAGTGCATGCTCATAGTCATTACAAATTAGAGTCAAAGTCATTTAAAACCATAAATGTGTAGGCACTTCACAGTTTCTTGTTGTTTTGAGTGACATTTGGCAGTATGGTAAAACCATACAGAGAACGCAGGTGCTACATGTTTTTAATATTTTGAAAGCTGTTTGCTGTTTATTTATTATGAGGAGTAGGTCTATGTTTGAGATAGGAGATGATAATAGTAAGTTACATTTAAAAACAATTCTCACAGTAATTTGGTAATAGCGCTCTAACACTTATCCACTAGACGCATTTGCATATTGTATGTAGGCTATATGTAAATCGTCTGCATAATTAATAGGTTTAAATGTTATCAAATCAATGTTATTTACAAACATCTAATATAGCATATTGCAATTACTGAGAATTTTGCTTCTAGACTGAATTACTGTGCAACAAGCTTATTGTATCCTTTAATAAAACAGTTTACACATGTCATTGTTGCTTGAGCATTGTACTGTGAGATGAATGAATGAATGAAATCTTTATTTCGAACAATTAATAAAAATAATAATAAAATAAATAAATAAATAAAGACAGCAATACGTATGAAGTATCCATACAAATAATTAAACACAAAAACAATAAAAAAAATATATATATATAATTACTTAATGCAAAATATAGCCTATCACTGAAGTCACTCAACACACAAGTAGGAATCATGACAACATAAGCTCGTCTAATATGACGCACAGCAGACTAACGTTGCGCAGTTTCACCTCTCACGTGATTAACTCTTGTTTGCCGGTGAGTTGAAGAGAGCGACCGACGGGAACTACATTTCTGCTAACTGATCTATTCCATTTATTAAGTCGAGATAAGCAGAGTTTATGGTTAATATGTGATCGAAACTGCATCGCAAAACGGTCAAATCGTTGCCTACCCAACGATTTATTCGCGTTGTTCTGAAGCTAACTCATTTGGGTGGAAGTTGAGTAGCCTATTATTTAATTGTACCACGCCGTAATGCTCTCGAATACTGAAAAAGAGCTGATTGTACAGATATGGGACAAAATGATTCCAGTGGCGGAAGATGTTGGATCTGAGGCTCTTTTAAGGTATGCTGTCTTATATCAAACAAATAGAACGCTTAGAGACCATGCAGACAAATATTTCACAAAAATAGCATATTTTTACAGGTATAAAAACTCACATGTAGATGTTTTCCTTCTAAAACTCCTCACCGTTGACTTTTACAGTGTCCAATATGCTGGGATGCTGCATTTCTTTAAACTATGTAAAACTTTGGGAATTAAACCAGTTAAAGTCTTACTTACACTCTTTGGTGGATCATTAATAGTTCGCCGTTCAATATTCTTAATATCAAAAGTCTTTTCAATGATTGATGGTCTTGTCATATTTGGCATATTTGCCCCTGAGTGATGACGCAAGCAATCTAGAGGGAGGGAGGAGATAGGGGTCTTGTGCTTGTCTTATTGACCTTGTTTTCTCCATTGTTAACTACAGGATGTTCACAACGTTCCCCAAAACAAAGACATACTTCTCTCATCTAGATATCAGCCCCAATTCAGATCATTTACGCTGCCACGGGAAGAAAATCGTCCAGGCTTTAGCCGACGGCGCGAGGAACATAAGCACACTTGCTACTACGTTGGCACCACTAAGCAGGTTCCACGCCTATCTACTGCGAATACATCCTACCAACTTCAAGGTGTTAATGAAACATATGTCCACTTAACTGATCCAGTACACATCAACAGGCTTTATCCAAATACCTGATGTTATGTGATGTGGTATTTTTTCATCTAACACAAACGTAATTTTTTTTTTTACATTTTCCAGCTTCTCAATCATTGCATCCTCGTGACGTTAGCCTGCCACATGGGTGACAACTTCACACCAGTTGCACACGCGGCGATAGACAAGTTTCTCTCGGCATTCTCAGCTGTTTTAGCCGAGAAGTTCCGATGAAGAGCCTCCGAAGAAGGATCGAATGGTTCTGCAAATGTTTTTCTTTAATAAATTAATAATACATGTTTTGCAAAGTACGTGTGTCTTATGCGTGTAATGCAATGGAATTTTCAATAAAAAACAACAATAAAAATACTAATCTTGTGACATGCACCTCCCTCATTGTACTCAATGTACTCTTTTGTGTCCATATTGTTTATTGTTTATACTAATTAATACAGTGCATTAAAAGGAATTCAGTATTTTGGCTTCCTAATAAAATGTCATTGAATTTACGAAATTCTTCTTGACATTGACATTGTCATGTTGTGAAATTGATTATTAAATACTAATGCAAAAGGAAATAAATCAATGAGTGACAGTGTTGCACGTGATCGGTATTAATAAGGGACATGATGCTTCATGTGGGCGTGGCGCTGTCCAGACTTTAGTGCTGAAATCTTGGCTGAAGTTAAATGTGACGCTTACCGTTGTGCTTAATGCATTTAAACAGTAGGCTTTCCTTTACATGTGGGTCAGTTACTTTCTGTATACCCACAAAAGAAGTGCAAACCTTTGATAAAGCTATCTACCTTTAAAAGGTACCAGTGTATTATCACCACTAATGGGGTAAGATGACCAACTTCTCTTGGCCATAAAATAGGTCAACATTTAAAAATATGTAAATAATTAAAGAAAATATTTAATTAATATATTTGGATTGCATATAAAATTTCCATTCATTTGGATCACACCGTTTTGACTAATAAACTGTCATTCATATTTGTCAGTCATGCATAAATGAAAGAAACAAGATTTCTTTAATAATAAACTGAATGTTTCTTTTTTTAAATACAAAATAAACAATTTACATTATCATCATTCAATCTTTTACATTTTAGCTTGTTCTACAGCAAGTCAGCGATATTTTAACCATGATCATACTTTTCAACTGAATACATTTATTTGTTTTCACAATGAGCAGCTTTATGCTGATTCTAAGCAATTTGAATAAATGCATTTTGAAAATACGAAAATAGAATAAAATAACTGTAAATATTTTTATTTGATTGCAGACATTTCTTGCCGGTTTTATAAATGTATTACTGACAAATGTGCATAACATTAAGTTTATTAGTTTGTTTATGTTAAATAAATAACTTAAAATCATTTTTATATGCAATTCAGATGCGTAAATCTTACATTTAGGCCTAAATATTATTGACCGTATTTAGAGTATTTTACAATAAAGTCCAACTGCCTTTTAGATCTTCAGTTAGAGAATTGTACTGTAGGCATCAAAGATTGCAACAGTTACACATAGCCTATCATTTAATGTCTTGTAAGGCGTGAGAAAAGGGAGGAGCAGGAAGTGGAGATCATATCAGAATGAACAAAGACCTCAAATGGCCTTCGTGATCCCTATGCAACCTTCACTAAAGTTATTATATTAGCACAACTTTAGCACCACAGGATTTAATGCGTAAACCTTTTTTAGTTGAAACAGCAAGCCAGCTATATTTTAACCGTGATCACTTTTCAATTGAATAAATGTAATTGTTTTCCCAATGAGAAGATTTGTGCCGATTCTAAGCAATTTGAGTAAATGTCTTTTGAAAATACGATTATTTAAATGGAATCAAATAACTGCAAATGGTTTTATTTGAGTGCAGAAATTTCTTGACGGTTTCTTTAATGTATAACTGACAAATGTGCATCACATTAAGTTTATTAGTTTGTTAAATACATAATTTAAACCAAATTGTATATGCAATTCAGATGCGTAAATATTACATTTAGGCCTAAATATATTTGAGCGTATTTAGAGTTTTTTACAATAAAGTCGACCTGCATTTTGGATCTTCAGTAAGAGAATTTTAGGCATTAAAGATTGCAACAGCTACACATATCTTTTAATGTCTTGTAAGGCGTGAGAAAAGGGAGGAGCAGGAAGTGGAGATCATATCAGAATGAACAAAGACCTCAAATGGCCTTCGTGATCCCTATGCAACCTTCACTAAAGTTATTATATTAGCACAACTTTAGCACCACAGGATTTAATGCGTAAACCTTTTTTATTTGAAACGTAAAGACAACTCAATGGACAACAAAATCATCTCAATCATTTATTTTTTATTACGCAATAAACATGTTCAGTACAAGAATCTCCTCGTACAGTCCACGAATCTAATAATACTGCCTTCTTAGGGCTGATATAACAACAGACAGGAACTTTTGCCAAGCAGCTTGGATGTCTGGGGTGAAGTCAGTCCTCATGCGTCTAGCGATCACCACGGTCAGGCAGTCAGCTAAGAGCTGTAAAAGAAGTGAGGGAAAGTAAAGCACAGTTCCAACATAATAACCAACATGGTAGCCGCGCATTGCTCTAAGACGCCAACCTGGAAATTGCCTGGGTCGACCTGCAGTTTCTCTGAGTGAAGCTCGCTAAGGGCAGTGAAGGTTTTCTTGATATTATCCATGTTTTTGAGAGCTTTCTCCAGTCCTTGAAGCACTACAATGCCGTGCGCCGCGATTTTTGGATTAGCCATGATTGCCTCCGTGTTATACAGGTTTCCAAACCCACCAAAGTACCGCTGAGTCCAAGGGTAGACGACCAAGCATCTTGAGATCAGACAATAAAGCAGGAACATTAAAGGCCTTGGTGGCTAACTAGGCTACAACAAATACGTCCACTGAAGACATCAAAATATACAATTACAACAATTAAACAGTTTAAAGAGTTCATATTAAAGAGAAAAAGGGTGCAGGCGATAGAGAAAATATTACCTCGTCAAGCTCTCGAGGCCCACCGACTCGTAGTCGAGTTTGGCGAATACACCCTGTATCGCAGCGCGTTCCTCAGCTGTCCACTGAACCATCGTGTCTCCAGGCTAAACAGCTGGACAGATGTTTAAATAGGACTGCTAGGCCGCCGCCCATGTATATCAGGCAGATCTGTTCGGCCGATAGTCCGGAGAAAAAGGCGGCAGTTGACCGATAAACGGAGTCCATGCGAATAAACAGTGATAGTTTTTCATCACCAGAATGTGAGGTTTCTTGCTCTTTATTTGTTAAACCTGAAAGAGCGAGTCTGTTTATGCTGCAAATTTTATAGGTCTAATGTATAGTAAATCGGTTATTTTGTATTTAAAACATTCATTTTATCATTACAAAAATGTAGTTTCTTTCATTTATGCATGGCTGACAAATATAAATCACGTTTATTAGTTTGTTAAAACGATGTGATCCAAATGAATGGAAATTTTATATGCAATCCAAATATTTTGCAACGTAGGCCTATTCTATGGTCAAGAGAAAAAAAAATTTAAGTTGGTCATCTTACCACATCTTGTTCCTAGTGATAATACACTATTAAGGGCTTTGTTAAAGGTTTGCACTTTTTTCTGATATTATACAGAAAGTAACTGACCCACATGTAAAGAAAAGCCTACTGTTTAAATGCTTTAAGCACAACGGATAGCGTCACATTTCCCTTTGAACTTCAGTCAAGATTTCAGCACTAAAGTCTGGACAGCGCCACGCCCACGTGAAGCATCATGTCCCTTATTAATACCGACAGCCTTGATCACGTGCAACACTGTCAGTTATTACGCCCGACATAAAGTGAGGATATAATTTGGACCTGTATTGATGGTTCTGGCCTTGACATCATCAAACCTCAACGGAACTGCCATCTTCACCACAACCGTGCCGCAGCACATAAATACACCCATGAAGGGGATGTTGGTTAGATTGGAGTTAATGTACCGATTCACATCCAACTGCCCATGTTTTCAATAATACAATGACAATATGATATTTTGAGACTTCCGATGTAAACAGTGGCCTATGTTATAAATGCCATTAAAATATATGGCTAAATAAACATATATTTTTTAAAAATTGCTAGACAGGTAATCAAACAAGACAGTTTCCCGTTGCAAATCACAGTTTTATAGCCTATCACAATTAACTTGCTGGCATTAGCTTTACGATGGAGTAACGTCAATCCAATAGAAATCGTTCATATGTCTTTATTGGTGATGCAGACACTTGAGAGGCGGGGACGAGCAACTATTGGGCCGAATATCATAGAAAAATGGGCGTATTGAAAAGCTTGGTAAAGTGACTTCAATTGGACTTCAATTGTATTAAAAACATCTGGCATCATCTTATCAACCTTATCTAAAAGCAAATGTATTATCTATGCTCTGATGTGTCCAAAAGTTTGTCTTTATTCTCGGCTGTAGGCCTATAGTGATCAAAAGCTACTGATCGAAAAAACATTAATTTTATTTACAATGTCACTTTAACTCGATCAGACAATGTGAAACCTTGTTTATGAAGAATATAGGCTATTGTGCTCTCATTTACTTCCTAGACATATTTTTATTCGGACATATTTACACTCAGGACTATATAAATAACATAAAGTCATGCCTGATATATTTATATGTGATATGGTCATTTATTCTTGTAAAGAACAAGAAGATATAGATATCACTTAAAATTGTTGATGAGCATTTGACGGTCAATAGCCTATATTGACAACTGAGAAACATTTGTGTCTCAGTTGTCAAAAAAACTAAAAGTCAGCTGCTGATGATTAAAGATTGGTTTTCAAATTACTTCAGTAAGAACATTTCCATTTTCTAGTGATTTCGTCAGTCATTCTGAAGAGTTAAGAAATTAAAATAATAGTCATTAGAAGCTGAAACTTTACTTTCCCTGAAGCATAGGCTACTTTTAATCTCAACACTATGGAAACTATATGAAAACACTATTTTTTAACCCTAACACAACACAAAATTCAATTTAAAAGTGTAGAACGTGAAAAAAAAAAAGAATAAAGCCTACCTACACAGTATAAAACGCCGTAGGCTACATTGGCCCCATAGGCTGCAGATTTTAATTGAGAAAACAGGACCCATGAACTCAGGGCTAAGCCTGTAATTTCTTTTCACAGGACATATGCAAACATGACAAGTTTAATTTGACTCAGATTGGACCTTTGTATAGCTACCTTAGACCTATAAAATTTGCAGCATAAACAGACTCGCTCTTTCAGGTTTAACAAATAAAGAGCAAGAAACCTCACATTCTGGTGATGAAAAACTATCACTGTTTATTCGCATTGACTCCGTTTATCGGTCAACTGCCGCCTTTTTCTCCGGACGGACTATCGGCCGAACAGATCTGCCTGATATACATGGGCGGCGGCCTAGCAGTCCTATTTAAACATCTGTCCAGCTGTTTAGCCTGGAGACACGATGGTTCAGTGGACAGCTGAGGAACGCGCTGCGATACAGGGTGTATTCGCCAAACTCGACTACGAGTCGGTGGGCCTCGAGAGCTTGACGAGGTAATATTTTCTCTATCGCCTGCACCCTTTTTCTCCTTAATATGAACTCTTTCAACTGTTTAATTGTTGTAATTGTATATTTTGATGTCTTCAGTGGACTTATTTGTTGTAGCCTAGTTAGCCATCAAGGCCTTTAATGTTCCTGCTTTATTGTCTGATCTCAAGATGCTTGGTCGTCTACCCTTGGACTCAGCGGTACTTTGGTGGGTTTGGAAACCTGTATAACGCGGAGGCAATCATGGCTAATCCAAAAATCGCGGCGCACGGCATTGTAGTGCTTCAAGGACTGGAGAAAGCTCTCAAAAACATGGATAATATCAAGAAAACCTTCACTGCCCTTAGCGAGCTTCACTCAGAGAAACTGCAGGTCGACCCAGGCAATTTCCAGGTTGGCGTCTTAGAGCAATGCGCGGCTACAATGTTGGTTATTATGTTGGAACTGTGCTTTACTTTCCCTCACTTCTTTTACAGCTCTTAGCTGACTGCCTGACCGTGGTGATCGCTAGACGCATGAGGACTGACTTCACCCCAGACATCCAAGCTGCTTGGCAAAAGTTCCTGTCTGTTGTTATATCAGCATTAAGAAGGCAGTATTATTAGATTCGTGGACTGGACGAGGAGATTCTTGTACTGAACATGTTTATTGCGTAATACAAAATAAATGATTGAGATGAATTTGTTGTCCATTGAGTTGTCTTTACGTTTCAAATAAAAAAGGTTTACGCAGGGTTTCACAAGTTTAGTGGCTGAGGCTATAAGAAGGTTGCATAGGGATCACGAAGGCCATTTGAGGTCTTCGTTCATTCTGATATGATCTCCACTTCCTGCTCCTCCCTTTTCTCACGCCTTACAAGACATTAAAAGATATGTGTAGCTGTTGCAATCTTTAATGCCTAAAATTCTCTTACTGAAGATCCAAAATGCAGGTCGACTGTAAAAAACTCTAAATACGCTCAAAAATATTTAGGCCTAAATGTAATATTTACGCATCTGAATTGCATATAAAATTTGGTTTAAATTATGTATTTAACATAAACAAACTAATAAACTTAATGTGATGCACATTTGTCAGTTATACATTAAAGAAACCGTCAAGAAATTTCTGCACTCAAATAAAACCATTTGCAGTTATTTGATTCCATTTAAATAATCGTATTTTCAAAAGACATTTACTCAAATTGCTTAGAATCGGCACAAATCTGCTCATTGGGAAAACAGTTAGGCCTACATTTATTCAATTGAAGTGATCAATTGAAGTGATCACGGTTAAAATATAGCTGGCTTGCTGTGGGCAGTGTTTGAAGTGGGGGGAAAAGGTGCCGGTACTCTCTTGAATTGGCAAATCATGACATTTGAAATTTCTACAGTGAAAAACAAAACTTGGAAATATTGCTGGTACAACAACAATTTATTGTTATTTATTAACAACATAAATGTATTTAAACAAGTCGTGTGTGTGCGTGCGTGTGTGCGCGCAGTTATTTACAAAGAAACATTCTCTTTTTAGAAGTTGGTCATTCATAAACTTGATTCTTGAAGTTTGTTAAGATGGGAGGTATACAACAATTACATGTAAATGGTAAACAACAAAAACAACCAAGAAAACAGCTCTGATATTGTCTTTTCAGTCATATGTTTACAAGACAGCAAACATTAAAAAAAAGTAAACTCGGGTTTGATTTGGGCATGTCTGTGTAGGCTATTACATAAAAGAAAGCTTATATTCTGACTAATTTGCTCGTTTTATTTATTAATAAAACATATAGTTTTACCCAAACTGAATAATTAAGACAAGTTTAAATGGCTAAATCTTGTATAAATATTTTTGAGTCTCTGGGCTTGTCATTTTCTTTTCTGACGTAGCCTAGCCTACTCAGTTCTTGTTAAAACACATTAGACATGCAAATTCTGTGCATTTTGGGCACTTTTTGTGTGAAATCATATTTATTTTCTCCATCAAAAGTGTGCTTTCACCTTAAATGAGCGTAAGCACAACAAAAATAGACTCGGCGCCGAATCCCCGCTTCACTGCTGCTCACGCGACGCTCCTCCTCGCGGTGTGAATGCACTCATTGATTAACGCAAGCCGAAAAAAATACGCGCTGCTCACGCTTGCGGTGGCCGCGATCAGCTCCGGTAGCCGTTTCGCAGCCGTAACGCGCCACAGGTGTGTGCAGTGTAAATAAGGGGTTAAACGGCCGTCACGCTTTTTCTGTCAGTAGAGTACCGGCTACATGGGAGAAGTAGCGGTACGCAAGAAAAAGTGCAGGTACGCTTAAGAGTAAAATGTAGAAGTGCCGGTACTGCGTACCGGTGAGTACCGCCCCACTTCGAGCACTGGCTGTGGGACAAGCAGTCTGGTTGAGCAGTTCAGAAAAACTATTTGCCAACAGATGTTTGAAATTGTACCTTTTTGTAGACTTGATACAGCTTGTCAACACAAAGTAAATTTAGTGTTGAATGGGGAGTCATTATCTTATGAAACAAATGACCTTCTGCTATATCAGGATAAGAAACTGCCAACCATTTGACAGTGTCAGATGTTTCTTACAATGAAAGAGCAATATGTGCTACATTTGTGTGATTATTGAAAAGTGAAAGAAAAAAATGGGGTGAATTTAACTATGACAGTTTA